AATTGTAGAACACCGTTTCGGCTCCATACTTTCCAGCCAACTGTCATGTTCAAACATTTAAGTGCAATGTCAATGTCAATGGCTATCTAATTCTAATTCTTTTTGTTTCCTAATTCTTCTACACCTCGTAACCCTTTGTCTTAGTGGCTTTATTGCCTTGTATAAGGGTGACAGCGATTAAAAAAAATTGTGACTTTGGGCTAAACTTAGCTAACCTCAGTAAATATCAATATAAAACCCTTCACGGTGTAGGGGTAGTGAATTCGAGCCTTATTAGGTTTGGACCTTGTGCCAGACATTATTAATACTAGGAAATATCAATATTAACAACTCACTTGGGAATAATAGTTCTCTTATGAAGTAATTCAGAAAAAGACAATTATTACGGGTTAATAAATTGAAGTGGCTCAAAGAGTCGAGTCCGTTCGAGAGTGTTATATTGATATCTACTAAGGGTTAGCTAAGTTCTAAATTTTGTAAAAGTATATTTTATACACCTTGTATAACGATATATAAATTTTTATATCTGTCTATATTCCGAGATGAGGTATTATGTATATTATTTACATTATTCGGACTATTGTCCTCATTTTTGTCACCATATTTATTACCACGTTCCGGCCGTTGTACGCTCCGGCCTTCCGGTGGTTGGAATGTTGAACTGAACCCTTTATTTACTTATTTAAACATGGCACGTGGAACTAGAACAGTCTACTCCAGTGAGCGAAATAATGGGTTCAGTTCGACATTCCAACCACCTGAAGAAGGTCGGTGCGTACAACAGTCGAAACGTTGTAATAAATATGGCGACAAAGATGAGGACAATAGTCCAAATAATGTAAACAAGAACAATTTTAGATGTGATGCATTTCTTCCTTTCAGCCTTCATCGGACGAGGATTTTTACATTGATGCGACTACGCATGCGCACGAACGAGAGACGCTGAGAATTTTAAATTTAGAAAAAAATGATTTTTTGTGTGTGTCTGTGTATTTTGGGTCTATAATTTCGCCAATTTCATTAAGATTCTTTTTCTTTCCATCATTCCGTCATTAAAAACATCCTACATTGTGATCTGGACGTAAATTTACTGTGGATGATCGAGCGATGAAAGCAATTTCTAAACTTTTTCGTCTTAGTGAATTAATTTCTCTTTTAATTAGAACAGCATTTTTTTTTATGTCAAAATTTTGGTCAGTCACGTTACGATGAGCGACTAATGCGTTTAATGTGTTGTCTTAAAATGACTCTTTTGTGTTCATATAATCTGTTACTTAAACGACTTAAGGTTTTCTGAATATATTCTTTCTGGCTATCCTTACAGGTAGTAGAAAAATTCCTCCTTCAAATTTTGGCTTGTTGTTTTATTTTTTATTAAGTCTTTGATTGTTTTGGATGTAATTGTGAAAAATTTAATGTTTAGTTTAGATAAATTCTTTTCAGTTGTAGTTGTTATAGACTTATAAGTCGGTAGAATAATTATAGACTGTTATAGTCGGTAGAATAATTTTTTTTTTCGTTAGGTTTAAGAAAAGCCGCTTTTCTATTTTGGAGTATTTTATGAGCTTTTTGTTGCGCATTGAATATGAAATACCCTAATTCATATTGAATGTACAACTAAAAGGCTCATAAAATATTCGAAATGTTTGAATGTGCGTGTAGCGTGGTGATCTCCGGCGAAGAAAGTGGAATCGCTGAGCAGAGTTCAAATCCTGACCAATGCCGTTGCGTTCATTTTCGAAAAAAATACGCTTGAGAAAGATGTGAATCCCGCCACTTTCTTACCAGCTGTAGGTGAAATAACAGTGTAGACTAGGTTCTTTAGTCTTGGATGACAACTAGTCTAAGAGAAGGAAAATGCAGCAAGAAACAACACTATTATATTTCACAAGAACATACAGCAATTCACAGATCATAAAGAAAAGGAATCTGTGGAGAGCCATATGCACCCCAAATGGAGATTTTGGTATTTTTTCAAAGAAAGAAGCTAAGCATTTTAAATCTCGCTATTCAGACTTTTTTTTCTTTCAAAAAGCTAAAAAAAAAAACTCTCCCCAGTAGCATTTCCCTAACACCGGACAAACCCTAAACCTGTACCAATTCTGGTGTACATTTGTGGCTAATCTGTCTTCAACGTTTAATGTGTGTAGCAGTGAGTTAACTGAGAAGTGTTCCGTTTAACAATGACAGGATATTCATAGCGTGAGCAGTCAGATATCATTTTTACATACGGCCACACGAATGGTAATGGACGGGAGGCTGCACGGCTGGATTAGATTGCGTTTCCATACCGAAGTCAGCCGAGTCATCCAAGCTTTACAACTGTTTATCGTCGCATTGCTGAGACAAGATGTGCGGCAACAAAAACTATGGTAATAAGTATTTATGGATTGTACCATAAATTGCACATTTTACAGCGTCTACCATAAACTTTAATAACTCAAATTCGAAGGATTTGCGGAGGGATTTGTGGACTTATTTTGGTGTGAGGAACGTACCCCAAAGTTTGTAAAAGTTTTTTTGATACATCCTATACACACACACACACACACACACACACACACATACATATATATATATATATATATATATATATGGTTGACCCAAGCCTTGTGATTGAAACTGGGTAAACGGAACTCTTGTGAGAGGTCGACAGCCGTGCTAGCACGAAGCCACAAGTCATCGTGGCCGAGGGCTTGAGCATACTGGCTTTGTTCAAACTGTTGATCACGCTAGATAGCATGCTCTCTCCCGGAAACTATAACTAAAGTTTGCTCAGCATAGTTGCTGTATAAACCACAGGTTGGCTCTGTGCGTGTTGAGCAAACACAAATGTACCTGAGCGAGCATCTGCAATAGGGATTGGCTGGCCACCATAGTAGATGGGTATCCTCAAACACGAGTGGCCAGCTATTATATATATATATATATATATATATATATATATATAGTTTATGCAAAACTATGTAATCCGTATTGGTAGACCCAAGGAGGATGATATCAAGAGAGCTCAAATAAAGGGCTGTGGTGAAATAATTTATTACATGGAATCTTAAAGTGGTCTGTTTTATTCAAATATATATATATATATATATATATATATATATATATATATATATATATATATATATAATAATAATAATAATAATAATAAAAAATGCTTAAACACTAGTACTCCATGGTCAGAATTTATTACAGTGGAATCGTAAATACGATCCAATTCATCAGACGTTTTTATATATCAGACGTCTATCTATGAATATATATATATATATATATATATATATATATATATATATATATATATTTTATATATATGCTATATTATAGTTTTAAAGTATCAATATTATGGGATAAAGTGCTCAATATCAGGGCGCGTATGTAAATATAAAAGTGTACATTGAGGCCAAAACCTAGTGGCGACAGTTTGTTTCATGCTTGGCCTGAGGTCAAAACCAAGCGCCAACTTCAGACCATGGTCTGGTGCTGACGTCAGTCAATATATATATATATATATATATATATATATATATATATATATATATATATATATATATAAGAATCTAATAATATTTTCTAATAGTTTTTCCTTTGTCAAACTGAATCCATTTCCCTTGATATCGTTTCAGAAATAAGCAAATTCTTCCCTTACCATATATCCACGATACAGCGACTGACTCCAAAAATACAACGAATAATATAGATATGGGCGCCCCGTGGGTATCCAGCAGCTGAACGACGTATATTCCACCCTGGATCAAAAGAGAAAGAAAAAATGAAGAAAATAAACAAACGGTGACAAAAAATTTAAATCAGTGATAAAATATATTAATATAATAAAATTCTGGCTAGGATTCATTCTTGAAAATCCACCAAAAATTATCGTCGAGCATTTTATTCCTTATTTTCATGTTGTCGCAAACTTAGTGATTACGTCGAAGAATATGTGGATAAATATCTCGCTTTATACACAAAATCTTCATCCAGATAATAGGTTTAAATTAAATACCAAAATGAAATACGGACGGGTGGCTTTTACCACATAAACTTGTTTGGTCATTTAAAGTCGAAGTTAGTGATATATTTTTACTATGAGCATTTATTTAGTTTGGAATTGGTAAATATACATTATCCGTTTATACTTGAGTCTATAGGTAAACGGCATCTGTTTATGAGCCTATAAGTTAAAACATGTTCTCCATATGTAAACATTGTTCTTTTATATTTGAAGCTTAAGGCAAACATTGGCCGTTTATACATGAGTCTATAGGCAAGCAATGTGTGTTTATAAGTTTATAGGTATACATTATTCGTTTATACAATGCAAAGACTGGCTGTTTATACGTGAGCTTATAGGCAAACAGTGACCGTTTATAAGTCTATAGGTAAACATTTTTCATTTATATATTAATCTGAAGGCAAACGCTGACCATTTATACTTGGGTCCGTATATAATCAGTGTCCGTTTATACATGAGTCTACAGGAAATCATTGGCTATTTATACTTGAGACTATAGGTAAACATTCCTGAGTCTGCAGGTAAACAAGGACCATTTATACGTGGGTCTATAAGTAAACAGTTTCCGTTTATAATTAAGTCTATAGATGAACACTGTTTACACACACACACACACACACACACACGCACACATATAGATAGATAGATAGATAGATAGTATAATAAAAACAGTTAAGAATGCTATTAGAATAGTGAGCGGTGGGAAATATGAAAAATATACAAACAGAACCAATAAAATAAATGTAAGAGAAAACAACGCTGAGACATAACTACCTTTCCGCGACTTGAAGTTTCATGAGCACCCTTGGATGGTTATGTGGCTGTCAGCCCCGGTACAATTGACGAGATAATCAATTTTTTATTCTGAAAATGAGTATCACGCCAAATTATACCGGGCTTAAGATTGCGGAATGAAAAAGGCAGTTATGTTTCAGTATTGTTTTCCTTTATGTATATATGTCTATAGGAATATATAATAATTATGCATTTCTCTTCACCTATTTATCTCTTTCTTATTTCATATCACTCTCATTCAGTTCATATCTATCTATCTATCTATCTATCTATCTATCTATCTATCTATCTATGCCAATATATTTATATTTCTCTATGTACGTATGTCCTTATTTAATTTTATTCTTTCTCTATCTAAATCAGTTTATTTATATCTCTCTATCTATGTACGGCTGTCCTTATCTTATTCTATTCTATTCTTAACTATCTATCTATCTATCTATATCAGTATGTTCCTATCTATCTATCTATCTATCTATCTATCTATCTATCTATCTATATCAGTATATTCCTATCTATCTATCTATCTATGTATCTATCTATCTATCTATCTATCTATCTATCTATCTATATCAGTATGTTCCTATCTATCTATCTATCTATCTATCTATCTGTTTTAGTCTGTTCGTATCTATCTATCTGTGTCAGTTTGTTCGTATTCTATGTATCTATCTATCTATCTATCTATCTATCTATCTATCTATCTATTTATCTGTTATTCATCTATCTATCTATCTATCTATCTATCTATTCAGTCTGTTCAATCTTTTATCTATCTATCTATCTATCTATCTATCTATCTATCTATCTATCTATCTATCTAGTTCCTATCTATCTATCTATCTATCTATCTATCTATCTATCTAGGTAGCTATCTATCTATATCAGCATGTTCCTATCTATCTATCTATCAATCTTATCTATCTGTTTTAGTCTGTTCTATCTATTTCAGTCTGTTCCTATCTATCTATCTATCTATCTATCTATCTATCTATCTATCTATCTGTTCATATCAATCTCTCTTGTGTATTTGGTAGAGAAAGAGACAGAAAAATAGAATTGGCAAAAGCATAGAAATGGTTTGTAATTATTTTCTCCGCTCATTTATCTATCCTTTATTATCTGATCCGAACTTTCACTGATATTTTTGGGGGTTTAATATTATTCATGGCTTTATATGCGTGTAATGGGCGGCAATTTCCTAAAGGCGTTGATATGAGATTGCACTTCAAATGGACTCATGGGATTGAACTCGTAATGCCGGCCATGTTCTTTGATTCCTTACTCATTTCTTCATTTCCACTTCCTAACGAGAAAACTTTGTTACTGTCATCTGTTCAGTGAAATTCTTATCTGCACATATGAACAAAAGGAATTTATTTGATCCAGCTATACTTGGCCTCTGTCAGGCCTTTTCGGCCAGATGCGGTGCTGTCCGAAATTAAATCTGTTACTTTATACTTGGTTTTATCTGAATTCGAACACCGATCTTCTTCGGACGGCTCCTAGCACGCGTACAGATACAAACAGAGATGTACGCGCCAAATGGTTTCTTCTCTCTTTCTCATGCATACGTACGCATGCGTACAAGTATAAACTGAATCCAAACATTTACAGGCAAAGCTCGACATGGAGGAGAGAGTATGCTCTTTATTTTGTACGTATGTACGTACACACGCATAAACATACACACAAGTATTTATGCTTATACCGTCATACAGCCATTCACTCAATTATACATTTACTAACACAAACATCGTACACATATACGAGTTTGCTCACACAAATATGGCTGCTTACGCTTCAATCGACAACAATCCGTCCGCCTTTTCCTTCGCTGTGCATAAAAACACAAACGAGTCCGTCTTCAATAATTAAAAGATTACCTTCAAATCTCGAGGCCTGTGTTCCGTCATTTAATAGCGGCTCTGCGCGATCCTTCTTGCTGACCAATCAACCGGCAGAAAACCTCCTTTTAAATTCATTGGATAATTGAAGCCGGCCCGAAGCGCCATCTACCGGCCCGTTTCGGCGTAATCTCGTGAATCAAGACAACAAATTGTCCTGATTCACAATGAGGCTTTTCATGCATATTCATGAAGCCATCCAAAGAAGAAGTGAGAGATAGATAGGAAAGAAATAGAACAGAAAAGAAAGCGAGGAAGAAAGAAAGCAAAAGAAGAGGAAAGAAATAAAAGATAAATAAAGAGACAGTGAAAAGAATTAGCTGATGATTATTGAATGTCATATATGCATCCATACATTCGGGGGGGACTTTTTCCTGCCTGGATGACCTACTATCACTGTGCACTGAGGAAGCAAGGAAACAAGCTCATCTGATAAAAAAACAAAAACAAAAAAAAACATATATATTCTAAACAGGGGTTTCAGGTTCAATCCATAGAACAGGCAGCTAGGAAAGTATTAGCTTTAATCATAAAAAAGATTTCTGTTTTTGTTTATCAACAATCTTTTTTGTTCTTTTTACAAAGAACGTGTGAAACCGAAGCACTTAACTTCTTCTTCTTCTTCTTCTTCTTTTTTCTTCTTCTTTTGCCCCTAATCCAGGGAGGAGTCGTTGGGGTGTCGACGTGCTAAGCTGTCTACCATTCTCCTTCCATCTGTCGCGGTCATGTGTCCAGAGCCTTGGTCTCCGCTAATGATTTCTTGGTGTGCTCATCATGTAGCGTGTCTTGGGCTTTTTAACCTGGCGGAGCCCACCCCTCTCCAATAACTTATACTATCTTTTCTAAATGTCTGCATATGATAGATTGTGACGCATTTAACATCTTAGCTAATTCCCGAGTATTTTGCCGTGGATTATTTCCACGAATGACATTTAATCATAGTCTAATCGGTTTGAGTTCCTCTTTCAGCGTCATCAGAACGGAATTCTGAATTCCTTTTCCAACGACGTTCGTCCAGAACTTAACTTTACAAATCAATTTCATACTTACCGTCAGTTATGACTCCTTAACCATAAAGCTACATATTTTTCTCCATACGTCTCCATAGTGCTATCCCTTTTCTTGTACTCTCATAAGACCTTGTGAAATAAATGCACTTTCAATCCCTCTATTTGGTGTGGGGGGTGGCACGCAGTAAATTTCGCGTCATTTGTCGTTGCACTTGGCATGAAATGCGCAATTAGTTTTCCGAGTAGGCAAATCCTCACGCCAAAGCAAACATAGCAAACAACTCGAAGTTGTATTTTAGGCTGGAAAATCGCTGCTTTCTCCTTACCGGCATCAGGACGGAATTTCTCACATTAACTATCTTCGTGCAATGGAGAGATAAATTGTTTGGTGGACGGAAGACGAAAACTCGCTTCGTCCGAAGAAGGAAGTTAGAAAAATGACAGGAGTCGACCAACCAATTAGCTGACCACTCTAATGAAAACTATAAAACGTTTTACCTACGAGTGTGAACACTTATAATCATTTCTCCCCATTCAAGGCAGTAAAGCCACTAAGACCCAAAGGGAGTTACTGAGTGTGAAAGAATAAGAAAAAATGTAAATATTATTAAGGATCGAGAATAGAAGAGTAATGAAAAAGACTGAAAATAACGATGGACATTGCATTTACATTGAAGATCAAAGTTGATTGGAAAGCAAGAAGTGAGAAGAGACTTTCACGAGCGAGTAGTGCATATCTATCTATCTATCTATCTATCTATCTATCTTGTCCTTTTCAGACCTATGTATCTGTCTATATCATTGTGTTCATATCGATGCAGGATAGATTCCTATGTCCACAATCTATCTATCTATCTATCTATCTATCTATCAGACTTTGTTTAAAATCAGTTTACCCTAAGCAAGTTAATAAAGACACTAAGATGCGTTGGGTTACTGAGTGTGAAAGAATAAGAAAAAATGGAAATATTATTAAGGATCAAGAACAATAGTAGAGTAATGAAGAAGAGTGAAGATAGCAATTGACATTGGAAAGAATGGAGTTCCACAAGTGAGAAGTGCGAGAAAAGAAACTGTTAGCATAGAACTTACAGTTACATCTAGCCAACTTGACTGCAAATTGATGATATCTCAATGACTCTAGTACTACACTTAAATTCATAAAGTCTAGGTAGTATAGCAAAGAGCTCATTCGAACAATTAGTATGAAAGTATTTATAAAAAAACAAGCAGAGGGAAGATACATTATGGCAGTAGGAAAGTGACTGAATTTGAGATGCCAGATTGGGACCAATAATATTGCTGGTTCTTCTTTAGATTTTATCAAGAATCTCTAAATATACAGCAGGAGCACTTGACCATATTGTAATATTCAAAGCATAGACTTATAAGTATGTAAGATAGCTCCAGGAGGGAAAAATTTCCTAGCACGACATGGTGAACCAACTTACTTAAGAGCTGACTTAGCAATTGATTCAATATAGTTTTTTCACTTCATGTCAGAATATTGACCCCTTAACTGATTGGTTGAAGTTCCAGCGAAGAGGTAGGCTATTCAATAATATAAATTACAATGCGACTTTATATATTTATTGATCACCCAACCTGATCACACCAGACATTAAAAATCTTCTGATACAAAATATCAGATTTTATTATGCAAGTCAAGATTGTCACAATTGTGGCTATCCGTCGAGGTGGAGGATAATGGTTTTGTTTTGTTTGTCTCAATCAGTAGGGGGTTGTGGTCTCTAAGATGGCTGATGAGTCCGATTTTTGATTGAAACGTCCTTCGACATTGAGGAGAGGTTGTTCCGGATCTTCTTGGATCGTCACCGTGACGTCGTGATGAAGCTTGCGTGTTCCAATGATTCTGAGAGCGATGCTGTCGGAAGCTTAGTTTCTGGTAGGGCCACTCAGGGAGGCAAGGTTGAGGATGAGAGAACACTCAAAGAACGATTCAACCTACAAAACCTCAACAGCGCACCAGGCGGAAGAATTGATCAAACCCAGCGGCTGTGAAAGTGGATGAAGACTGCGACAAATCTTTCAACACCAATTTTTTTCGTTTCCTTGCAATTGGTTCCAGTTGGTCGATTGTCACAAAATTGACATTAAGCAACTGATATTGGTGAAATGAAATCTTCTATGGGCCCAATGCCATTTGGTGTTAAAAGTATTCTGTTCAATCGCTCTCAAAGGAGATCATCCGTTGCAATCTATCATGATCTTGTTTTACTTACATAGTATCTGCACGCCTTTTTTAACTATCTTTCCAAAACTTCAGGTAGCTGAGTTTTGAATTCAGAGTTGTCCATCACCTAGACAAGCTGCCACCTAGGGCTAAAGAGTCTTGTCTGCCCTGTTATTTAACTCATAGATGCAGGGAGAAATGAATTCATGCCTTTTCCAAGAGTATTTGTGTAAAGTTGAACGTAATGACTTCGACTAAAACTCGAACACTTCACGTCAAATTCTAGTTCTGAGCCGCTAACAATTACACTACCTCATTGTAGAAACATGCCGGATAGATTTATAGGAGCAATATCTATAAAACAGAAGATATCTGTCTGTGTATCTGTCTGTGTGTCTGTCTCAGTGTGTGTGTGTGTATGCTATTTATGCACATCCACATTTACAGACTGTTTTTAATAAAATTGCAGACACCCATTGTAAATTTATAATCTTAGGTTAAGACTATATTTTTAATCTGTAGATCCTTAGGATTTGGTAGAAAAATCGATAAAACTAAAGGTGGGTACGACTTTTTGCAAAAACCAAGGCAAAGTTACACACGAACAAAACTTTTACTTGATGAGTTGATGTTTTTGTACTTATGCAAAACATCAGCTCATGTTACAAGGTTTATGTAGAGTGTTTGATATTTTTCCTACGACATTAGCTTCACACAATAAATGGCAAAAACTGTGAAAAAATTGGGATTTTCGTACTACTTAAAATAAAAACTTGAATAACTTCCTCATTTTTATCCGATTTTCTTCAAACATGTCGCAAAAAAATTGGCATCATGCAGGAAATAAGATTGTGTGGTTTTAGTCCTGCGTATAATGAAAAACCACGAAAAAATGTTCAAAAAGCCCGTTTTTCGGCCATAACTGCTTGATTTTTCATCCGCTGCTTTCCAAATTTGCCATTTAAATTACATATGACACACAGATTGTCTTGCGTGAATGTTTGGTTTAGATTATTTCAGATAAGTGGACGACATCTGCAAGAAACTAGGTCCAAAATCGGCTTTTACCAGTTAGCCAATAGTTTCTTCATATGAATCCAACCTAAATTGGCATTTATACAATCATTTATCCAAAGATTGTTTGAGAAGGATTATTGAAGCGTTAAAAGGGGAAAATTCCCGAGGAACCTCTTATTAACCCCCAGCTTCACAGTACACGTGCGAAGAAGGAGGGGGCGTTCATGTGTTTGCACTTGCAGTTGAATCAAGCGCTGACGCTTCATCCCTGTTTTTGTTTGATTATTAGATTTGTGAACAATGCCATACAATTTGAAAGTTATTTGAAAGTTATTACGGCCATAAGAAATTTACTGAATCTCTAAAACATTGAAACAATTTAACCCTAAGCAACGACCACACAAGAAGTTTTTATCGATGGAAATCCTTTATTAAGAACAATCAAACACTTGCAAAGGACATATCGTAAAAAGATGAGGGGATGTAGCTTAGTATACCAACAGATGATGTATGCAAGCAGACATTTCTAGAGAGGGGGTGCGGATATACAGTGGGGTGCGGTTATACAATTGTAGGCATGCACACCCGGGAAACAGCGGGTACCTCGGCTAGCATATCGATAACAACTTGTTTCGACCGCGTCAACTTTTATTATAGAATCAAACTAAGTGTAACATAATTTTTATTTACGAATCGTAAGTAATGCTTTTGATGATGAAATTATATATATATATATATATATATATATATATATATATAAATAGATAGATAGATAGATAGATAGATAGATAGATAGATAGATAGATAAACGTAGGTGTTGATTATAATTATGCATCGACAGGGAATGCTGAAGATATTAGAACGCTGCAATTTTACATTTAATTGTTGCTAAACGTGTCTAGACATGTAATCTAGCCGATTTCATTCAATTTCTTTATGCTTTTGTTTTTGCTTTTATAAAAAGAAATTTAGAAAATGTTTTAAGAATTACTTGGCTGTACCCATTTCATCTCAAAGAAAGATGCGACAGGATATAATGTGTTACATAGTACCAGCAACAAGGAACAAGCCACAACATGACCGCTTGATAAAAAAACCGATGCGAACTGTCTTACAAGGTTTAAAGACTGGAATAGCTGGAAGAACAGAGGAATAAATGGATTCATGCCTTTCCCAGGGATATTGATTCAAATTTAACACTATCCTGGCAATAAATTTAAGTTGCTGCCCCAAGTTCATTTTCCGCGTTGTCAACCATTAGGCCAATGGCACATATACCTGGACGAGTGGTTAGAACGTTTCCCGGGTTCGAATCTCACTATGGTCAATTTGTTACGAATATGACAAGAGAGGTGATCCCAGTATGCTGTACCTTTGAAAAGTGCCGGAAAAGCGCACATGGGTTGGCCCAAGCTTTGTGATTGAAAATAAAACCATCCGTGATTGTGCTAGCATGAAGTCATAAGGCATCAAGACCGAGGGTTTCAACGTACCGGCCTTGTTCAAACTATTGATCATGCCAGAGGACGCACTTTATTCCAGAAACTGTAAGTAAGGTCCGCTCAGCATAGTTGCAGTATAAACCCTAGTTGGTGCTCTCTGTGTGTTGAACAAACACAAATCAAGCCATCTGTGTAACAAAGATTGGCTTGCTTGCTCCAGCACAGGTATACAGCGATAAGCAAGACCAACAGAATTTGAAAGCAAGACAGTCACTGAATTAAGATATGTCGACATTAACGTTTCTTTTTACCTATCAGATTGTCAATGTTCCCGTGATGTAATTCCTCTTCATGACGGGGTATATGGAAGTTTCTTTGTGATTCTCATCTCTCCTAGTAACACGTGACAGTTTTTATTAGGTCACATGACACCAGCAACATCTAATGATCCTTGATCTGACTTAAGCATTCAAATACTAAGGTTAAATTAAGACAAAAACATCAATGTAAAACACATTCTTTTATAACTCGATAAAAAAATGCTTACATCTACATCATTGACTGCTTTGTCAACGGGGAACCCAAAATACGCCGACTTTATTCCCTGCAAGAGGGTAAACCCACTTTCAAAAGAGTCCACTTGTAGACTCGGGTATAAACTAATATTTTTGTCTTTACTTTTGTGTAAATTGAACCTGAATCTATGTTTTTGATTATATTGCAAGTCGGATTTATGTCTATGCTTTCTGTAATCTATGGCAAACCAGACCTATGTCTACATTTTTAACTCTAATACAAAGTGAACTTATTTATATTCCTTTTTTTAATCTATTACAAACTTGATTTATGACGACATTTTTTGACTTCAGTGCAAACTGAACATTAGTCTACCTATTATTTAAGTGTTGCAAACCGGGCCTATGTCTATTTTATTCTTTGACTCCAATGCAAACTGAACCTATATCTACCTTTTATTTAAGTGTTGCAAACCGGGCCTATGTCTATTTTATTGTTTGACTCAAGTGCAAACTGGATCTAAGTCTACCTTTTATTTAAGTGTTGCAAACCGGGACGATGTCTATTTTATTCTTTGACTCCAGTGTAAACTGGACCTGTGTCTACCTTTTTTTAAAAAATTTCCAACCGAGCATATCTTCAGTGTTTTTGACTCCGTTGCAAACTGGATCCATATCTACCATTTATTTAAGTATTTCCAACCGGGGATATGTCCA